GACACATCTGTCCCATTACATTTACGTAAATTGAATCACGTGATCAAAAATTTACTACATCTCAGTTGCATCCGATGTGGATTCTTAAACGCTGCATATACTGTGAAATTTGTGTTTCATGACATTTGGGGTTGCAAAGCTGTATCGTAGATGTTGGAAAAATAAAGTATTCCTCGGACTTATAATTTTTTATTAATACATTTATTTTAATGAGATTGTACTTATACTGTCTTTCTTTTTTCACAGCTAAAGTTCTTCACAAAATGATGGACAGTGTTGTATCCTGGAATATGTAGCAGTCATCCAGCTACTTCATACATAATACAATTTTCATATACATTACATTTTTTAAATATTGGATTTGTATTATATATATTCTTTAATAAATTTATTTTTTGAATATTCTTGTTTTTTTTATCTAAAAACTGTTAGCCAAATTAAGATTTGTTCACACAAACTGCATTTTTGCTTTATTATAGCGATATTCGCTATAATAAAGCAAAAGTGCAATTTGTGTGAACAAATCTTAATTTGGCTAACAGTTTTTAATGCGGATAATTTTTACTGTCAAATTTGAATAGCCCCGCGCTTTTCTTCTCTTCTTCTTTTTATTATTTTCTCTTCTTGCATATGGCCTCTTACCAGACAAGGACTTAATTGAAAAAAAATCAACCACGTCCACCAGGTGCCGCTAAAAACTCTATCATCCTTTTTTAACATGGGAGTTACCGTTCTAACGGCCATATGCACCATTGTCCAGCTAAGTCCTCTGTTATCTAACAGTAGTATAAAAAATAACAGTGTGTTAACAGAATTTGCTATGCACCATCTATGTACCATCTATTTACTAGTTTCAGTAAGAAATCAGTCTGTTGCGTACATATTACTGTCAATATCCTATAAAACCTTATATAGCCCTTCAAAATAAACAAGTAAAATTAAAATAGTCTGATAAGTAAAATTAACAGGCCAAATTTGGTTTGTTAATTAACAACGCCTTTAACAGATTGTTAGTCGTATGTTGTAATGGTGAATACAAAATTGTCAATTTAACAGTCAGTTATGTAGTTAACTCTCTGATAACTATTAACAGAAGAATGGTGCATATGGCCGTAAGAGTAAGTGTTCTGTGTACACCTTATAGTACACCGTGGATTTGACAAAGTCAATGGCCGTGTTCATCGTCGTCAAACATGTTTTAAAAGCAAAGAAACATGTTTCATAAGCGGTTGGAATGACGCTGAACGATCATTTTTGTTTACGATTTGTTTTCTCAACCTCAAATCTGTCAAAAATGGAATGACATTTGGTTGGCACAAAGAAGGTTATGTGAATTGTTTACTTTAGTATTTTTTTAAAAAATTTGAGTTTAATTGATTTGTACAGTGAATTAGAGTTTATATAAGTACCCTTCTGAAAGTGGTTTTGACAATTTTACGGCGAAAAACCTACAACTTGTATTATTTTGGGTTGTAAAGTCATGATGTTTTTATTGCCTCTATGGATCTTGAATTCTACATACTTAGACTAATCAAAGAAATTGTAATAGTCATTTTATTACAGGTAAAATACATTTTTTTGGCACACAAATAAAAACATACTGTAACTAGATCATACTTTGAAGAGCAGAATGAGAATGCTATTTATTGTGTATTGTGTTTAATCAACTGTCTGGTCTGCACCAATAAATTAAAGTAAAGGAACTCATGATACTAATAACATACATCTCAAAAAGTGATCTTTTTACATATACCAAGGATACATAAAAGTGTATAATAATAGAGACATCAAGTATGACTTTCTTATTTTTAGGGAAACAGAGTTCCTTCGAAGTTAGTAATCATTTAAACTGGACTCCAGCCCAGAACTTGAGGCATGTGTCTCAAACCAGTTAAAAACTAACTGAATCGAAAAAGGAGGAAGAGATAAAAATGAAAATGAACCTGAAGTAAACTTTTATTTTTGAGTCATAATACCGAACATCATAAGTCCCGCTTTAGGCAAGACAAACCCACTTTCAAGTTATGTGTACCATTGTCCCCAAAGAACGCAAGAATGTCCTGCTTTAAAAGAAAAGGTGATATGATGCAAAGCATTCTATTAAAAAAGAGTTATCTCTTATAAATATGGGCTAGTGAAAAAACTTACCTAATTTCAGGTATTAGTATTGAAAGCCAAGCATAACATAAACAAGTCACGTCAACAGTTCCACTCCCATTTAAAAACTAAAATATAGAAAATCAGCCCACTTAACAAGTTTTATTTCGCTTTTCTAATTTTTAATAAATTAACATAAAATTATGTTATTTCACTTATTTTTAATAAATTTTTTTATTATATTATTGTTTTACTTTTACTAAAATCTTACTGTTGTTATTCTACATTAAAAATAATGAAAAATTGCTGTTATGCCTTTTAAAATTTACAGGCTTCTTGCTGTGAGGTAAGAAATGATAAAGTTTTATTATAAAAACCGAAAATTGTTAAAATAATCCCTATCTAATGCTTCACTTATTTTTTTACAAAGTATTTTTTATGTAGGTACTTAGGTGTTATACATTTTTGGTCATTGCTAATATTCATTGAGTCTGAATTATTTTTATGTATTAATAAAATTTGTATAGTATTATAGAGTTATACATACCTTGTCGACAAACTACATACAGTAATTGTTTTATAGGAATGATATATTTTGTATTGGAAATTAATAAATATACAAATTTAATGTTGTCATATAGGTAGAGCGACTTATTAGCAAAAATTATTTGAAATGTATACAGTAATGAGGTATTTTTTTATAGGTTCAACAAACCAAGGTGGGCCCTTTTTAATATAATTACTTATATTTAATTTATTTTGTAAATAAAATGTCATACTTTTATTATTATTTATTTTTTAATGCGCTATATACATTAATTACATGCCAACAAAAAACATCGGTGCAGTTTTAATAACAAAACTCGTCTGTTTTGAATAACTCTGTGCTAAAACTACCATGTAGGTATGTTATATTATCCATATTCCTTACTGGTGGAATCCCATTAACGTCCAAATGAAATAATTTAAGCATACGTGTATATATCTACGTCTGGAATTAATTTTATTTTCTTCAAACAGGTACCTCCATAAATACAATATTATATTAAAATACAACTTAACTAATCAACTCTATTAGGGTTTAAAAATATAAATAAACAAACACATAACCTAACAAAATGCCAAAAGACGGATTTGACAGGGGTTCAAGGTCAATTTTATGCTTTTAAAGCAAACAAGCGAGTTTATTTTCGCTTTTATGCTTCTTCAAAAGCGCTGCAGCGGTTGACAGTTCATCGTCACCGCTTACTCAGCGTTACAACATGTTCGACTGACGACGACGACGATGAACACGGCCAATGAAATAGATAGTTACATAGATTGATCATCCATATTTTTCAAAATAAACATAAGCTCATGCCTTGAAGTAAAAATGTAAGCAATTCTTTTTTTTTAAATATCTAAAGGCTAAAAATTAGTTTTAAAACACATTTTTGCTAAACCGATTCAAATTAATAAATATTTGCCAGGCAATATGGCCGCTCGTAAACGACCAGCTCTGAGCAATCTATATAACTATATATGTATCATTGACCCTATTAATGTCAACATGACAACAGGGTTGCCATATCTAAACTGTCATTACCCACTGGTAGCCATTTGGACAGGTCGTTGGAATGCCTAATAGGAATTTGTGACACTTTCCTATATGTAGGAAAATGTCATAAATTTTCGATGTATATAAAAATGTCAAATTCCTACAAGTCGAGAATCGACCCCCATGCCAGAAAGTATGTGTATGGTATGTGTTCTGTGAAGCCAAGATTATTGATTTATCCTTTTGAAATATAAATTTAGGTTGTTTTCCAGTCTCAAAAGTCAAATTTAAAGAATATATAAACTTCTACTTTATCATTGTCATTTTATCACGCGACCAATAAAGTCTAGAGTGTTTGTTTATTACATCGATCTACATTCAGATAATAATCCTTTATCACGTGATACAAATTCACAACATCTCAGATGCATCCTGGGCTGGAACTCTGTGTCATGTAGAATTCTACTTATCGATTTCTACAATGCAATCGATTACTTTCTTTTGTGATAAATAAATTATCAACCGCACGGGAAATATCGCAATGTGGTTTCTTATGAAACTAGTTATCCTGTAGTAAGTATATACTCGTTGGTTTTCCGCTATGTTACACAGAGTGCCACAAAAGAATCTATTGTAGAAAGCGATAAGTAGAATTCTACATTCTACATTCAGATAATAATCCTTTATCACGTGATACAAATTCACAACATCTCAGATGCATCCTGGGGGGCTATTTTCAAACTCGAGAGAATTCATTTTTCTCAAGAGAAATGTCATACCTCAACGTAAAACCGTATTTTTAGGGCTCTTAGGGCCAGTGTGAACTCACTGACTGTTTCTCTCGGTTTATTTAGAGATAATTAAAATTCTCCTAAGAATTTTAATCCTCGATTCCTTTAAATACAGCGTTTCCACATTGACGTATGACATTTCTGATGAGAATCTTGAGAGAAATGAGTACTCACACGGTTTGAAAATAGGTCCCCCGGGCTGGAACTCTGTGTCCTGTAGAATTCTACTTATCGATTTCTACAATGCAATCGATTACTTTCTTTTGTGATAAATACGTTATCAACCGCACGGGAAATATCGCAATGTGGTTTCTTATGAAGCTAGTTATCCTGTAGTAAGTATATACTCGTTGGTTTTCCGCTATGTTACACAGAGTGCCACAAAAGAATCTATTGTAGAAAGCGATAAGTAGAATTCTACATGGCACAGAGTTCCAGCCCTGGATGCATCCGATGTGGATATTCAAACGCGGCATTTTGTCAGGAATCTAGGGAAATAAAAAAGATCATCTGGCAACACTGCTATTCCCAGTCATTTCTAATTTCGTTCTTATCTGTGATTCGCGCGTTCATTCCTCAAACTTCAAAGTGACGTGATAACATAAACATAACCTAGTTTTAAAAATGGATATTTCCACAAAGTCAAAATCTTCTAGAATGATGCCCAACATTTTTAGCGTATGTCACCCAATTCCTACTATAGCAGAATTGGAACAAGTTATTCAAGAACCACCTGAATGGATTTATAAAGTGCAACCATTAGTACCAAGATCAGGAACAGTAGTTAAAAATCAGTTAGAAGACTGTCATAGTGAAACTGAAAATTTTAGTCTAAAGGATAGAATAGATGCTAGATCTGTGCCAAAATTTTTGATTTGTCATGATTACAAAGGAGGATATCAAGCAGATAGGTATCCCTAAACTAATATATGTACTTAATTTAAAAAATAAATTTTAGTGTAAATAATATGCTCATGCTCAGTCAAATTTGAAATTGCTTTAATTTTGTTTCATTGTGATTTATACAAGATTTATATCTTTGTTAAAATTATCTACTTACCTTATGAGTAACATTTTATTTGTAAGTACTTACCTCTGCCTACAGGTATTCCAAAGTCACTAAAGTAGTTAAAAACAAAAAAAAATAAGAAAACCGCATTGTAGCCAAAACTGGAGTTCTAGAAAATATTGGAACTTCCTGAGTGATTTAATCCTTAAGTTTAAAATGTTTTAAGTCCAATAAAATATTTTAGTAGTAATTTGAGGTATTTGTAGCTTTATACCTACCTACTTATTTTTTAAACTGCAAAACTTCAGAAGTCTACATTAATTATTAAAAAAAAAAAAATATTCAATTAATCATAAAAAAGTTTAAAAATATTACTTTTTTTGTATTTCAGATATTTGCATAACTCTGATGAAGACATTGTAGGTCACGGTTACACTTTTTATAATTGGTCGCAAATAGATATTTTTGTGTATTTTAGCCACCATTTTATTACAATTCCACCGCTTTGTTGGATTAACACAGGCCATAAAAATGGCGTAAAAGTGTTAGGTAAGTTTTTAATAAAGTGGTATACAAATATAAACATGGTTGTTTGTAGGGACATTAATAACAGAATTTAGTTCTGGACATGACATTTGTGATAATAAAATATTCAAAGACTTAGAGACAATGAAAAGTTTTGCTGAGTCTTTAGCTCAAGTAACAAAAATTTTTGGTTTTGATGGCTGGTTGTTGAATATTGAAAATAAAGTCTCAAATGTTGAGGTCCTTAAAAAGTTTGTTCCTTATTTAACAAAATTAATTCATGATGACAATCCTGGTAATTTGATAATATGGTATGATAGTGTCACTGAAAAAGGAGAGTTGGTATGGCAAAATGAACTTAATGAAAATAACCAGTAAGTATTTTTTGTTATTATTAATGTTAGTACAGCAGGCGGCAATGTCAATTAGCTGCTTTTAAAATCACAATTTTTTTTTATCACAATATATCACTGAAAGGATTATCACAGACTTTTTGATGTCTGAGGATACAATTTCCCTGGAAGCTCGTTCCACACATGTACCACTAGGTTTGTCAGGAAATTTCTATGGCAAAGTTTCTGATTTCTTTCAGTTTGCAGTTTTAGGTCATGTCCACATATGGTTCTCGTTTCTTATGAAAACACTGCCAAGCCCTACTGAGTAGTACCCATTCAAGATTTTTTTGTGTTTCTATGAGGTCTTGATTTGTATATTTCTGAAATAACATAAATTATCCACACCACTTATAAATCATTAAATAATGATTAGAAAATTATTAATGTAAGCATATTCTTTTTAAGTCATTTGATCCTGCCTAAGGAATGTTACAAGGTTCTCGTCTGTCACCCATTATCTATGATTAAATCAAAAAAAATAAGTGATATAAAAAGATTTCAAGTTGTAACAACACTAGTAACTGAGGTCTTGATTTGTATATTTCTGAAATAACATAAATTTAATATGGGCAGTAATTTTAACCCTCCGATACCCGCGTGGCGTCTGACAGACGCCACTCTTATTAACAATGCACATAACTTTTTAAAATAGTGAGATGCTGACTTCTCCTTCCTTGTACCTTCTTTAATACGTGTACTAAAGATGTGTAGTAGAAAAAAAAATCGCATGAACAAATAAAAGTTAAAGCAATACAATAATTTTATATGCCTCGAGCATGAAGAATATATATGCCAGTCATGTAATTTTAAATGAAATAACTATTATCGCGTTTGGGGATTTGTTCTTTTTTTTAATTAGTTATACTATTCTATTTACGTTAAAAAGTTATCTGTTTATTTCAAGATTTTAATTTATTTTGGTCATATGTTTAAAAATGAAAATAATGATATATTTATTATATATTAATTTTACTGATGTAAGAACGAAATTTTTGTTTGCGATTTTAAACTAAAACATTAAAATATATATGAGTAGTATGTAAATTATTTATATAAAACTTTTAGGGTATATTTTCATTTCATTCTTAGGACTTAATTGAATGGCGTCTGACAGACACCACGCGGGTACTCTTGTTTCGAAATTGAACGCGGGTGACCGAGGGTTAATAGACATTAACTAGGCCCTTGAAAACAAGGTGTTTTTAACTGTAAAAAGTGAGTAATAAATAAATTGGGTATGCCCCTGTATAAAGTTTACAGACCAAAATAAGGATATTATTTGAGTAATGAAGGCAGTTACATCAAGCCCCTTTTTGGTGTACACAACCTATGAAAAAAATGCATTTAACCAGCTTTTATATAAATCACATATTATAATCACTTCATACTACAATAACCCGCCAATAAATATTATGTAAATGCAACTAAAATTATTGGCTGAAAGATTATAAAAATGTTACAACTGCATCAGGTCAATTTTATAGTCTGAATAAAAAAGGAGTGCAGTAAAAGTGGTGATATAATGTCACATTCCAAAGGCATACTTTGCAAAATAAGTTTCTATAATATAAATAAGGTATGGCATATAAAATGATATATACATCAGTGCTTCCAAGGTGGGTTATCATTAAATTATATCCTTTCGGATTTTTTAATTCACAAGAGACCCCTGCCATAACGGCTTGTTTTTTAGTTTTACAGTAATACACAATTAAAAAAAAGGTTATTGAGATTATTTCATTTATAAAAATTAATTTTAAATTTTTTTTTTAAATAAATTAAGTGAATATTAAGTTTATTATTTTGGAGCCTATACCTATCTTGATCTCAAAAACTATTCAGAAAACCGTTGAAGCATAAAAGTCAAAGTAGCCATAAAAGTAAAATTGTTGTTTCTTTTTTTTTTATTATATTTTGCCTCTGTTTATAAGAAATTCAGTAAATTTATTTAATTTCCACAATACTTTTCCACTGTTCAAAGACTTGTCTGTAGATTTTTCCAAGCAACCCATCATTAATTTTAAAAACAAAAAATAAATATATTCTGATATTTTCATATATGCACAAATTGTAACCAACAATCACTTGTATTTTACATTGCTATTTAAATTATCTACTGTGATCAAACCAATTTCATATGTCCAGCAAATCATTTATCAAAAAATTATCAGACCTTCAAGATCTTTAAAACCAGCATGTTACATGGATGATAAAGATTCAAAAACAGGTAAACTGAACCAGCAGACAATCCTTCTCCTCTTTCGAAATGCCTTTAGTACCTGCCATAAAGAGCTACTATTTAAATTCCACCACTTGCTATTGTCCACACCACTTATAAATCATTAAATAATGATTAGAAAATTATTAATGTGTAATTAAAAGTAAGCATATTCTTTTTAAGTCATTTGATCCTGCCTAATGAGTGTTACAAGGTTCTCGTGTGTCACCCATTATCTATGATTAAATAAAAAAAAAATAAGTGATATAAAAAGATTTGGAGTTGTAACAATACTAGTAAGACTTTTTGGAATGTAAAGGAAAAAATCGTGTATACAAGAATATCTAAGAATACCTGGGATTAACAAAAACTTCTTAAGAATAATTGAATATCTGGAAATACCTAAAAATTCATTTATAGGAATATTCAAAAAATGAACTCGATTAATATTTTTATACCAAATTAAGATATTTTTTTTTTAGTTTTTTCCTATTCTAACATATGAAAAATAAAAATGCCTGTATACCAGTAATTTCGCTCAACCCTATGATATTTCAACCAGACGTAGGGATCTTTAACAAGTTCAGTATTTACTTGGGACCGACGGCTTTCGTTTCCAAAAGATTTGCATATTTCACAATGCATCTTGTACTCATTATAGTGCCTGACAGTTTTTTTTAATTATGTAAATGGTAATACTGATCGATATCCCCTTGGGATTAAACATTTTATAAAGTACTGTAAATTTCTATAATAATATGTTTTTTTTGTGGTCATAAAACCTTTGATATATTTAAAATAATTTATTTGTTTATCAAATGATTTGAAAATAGGTCACCATCTAAATAAACTCATGACGACTCATTATAAAACATAAATATAAATATCATAAATGAAAATAACTAAAAGCCAGTGCCACATTATATTCGAGCGATCGTTTCCTTTAGGAAAACTACTACTTCTTTGGTTAATAGCACAACAGGCATTGAAAACAGTAGAGATAGAAAATAGTTTTGCTTACCAAGAAGAACGTCGTTTTTAGACGATTTTTGTCCTTATTTGGACTCGTCTCTAATGAAATCTGCAAAGGCATCAAATTCAATCACCTTCAATAAAGAGAGACTGAAATCGAAATATCTATTTCTTACTGACGAAACCGGTCTAAGAATGACGTTCTACTTGGCAAGCAAAATCAAAGGTACAGTAATGAAAAATATTTTCTGTCTCTGCTGTTTTCCTTTGGATATAATTTAATACCTGTTAGCCAAAAGAGTAGTTGTTTTCCTGAGGAAAACGGTCGCTCGAATATTATATGACACTGGCTTTGAGTTATTTTTATTTTACGTCTTGGCCACATTTGAGTTGGATTTTTTTCCATTTTTATAAATAAATAAATAAATATAAATAATATGTATGCAACTTTTTTCAGAATGTACCTAATTAAAAAAAAAAAACAAAAACAGATACTTTTTAAATAGAATGTCACAATTATGTAAATAATATAGCATTTTTTTCAATGTTTATCATGTTGTTGCAGTGTGTGCAGAAATTTCCTGTTTACATAATTTTATTGTATTTATTTGTTCACATGACTCTTATCTTTACTGAAAGTGGTTTAGAAATAAAAAAATGTAAATGATTACTTTTTGGAAAATCAGAGATTATCAGAAAATTTAGATTGAAAGGTCTGAGAATTCTAATTAATTAAATTCTAATTCTATTAAATTAAATTAAAAAGTCTGGAAATGTTGCAAATATAATTTTTTCTTCAAGCGTATAATAATATTTACATTATATCAAGGTACAAGTGTTGTAGAAGTAGCCTATTTTTATACTAGTACAAATATTTTTCATTTTTGTACTAGTATAAAAAAGCACAAACCTAATGTTAAATGGCTTATTGTGAACGTTGCAATCAAGTAGGCTGGAACTGTCATTTGAATATATATTTAATTTGACGTTTGTCAGTGTATGATTTAGAATATATAGAAAATAGTGTTAACCCGTTCGTTATACCTGTGTTTTTCAAGTAAAAAGAAAATGTCAGAAGAAATGCAATCAACACCTCCCGAATTGCTAGAAATAGCGAAATCTTCGATAGAAACCTTAATACCTACGAAATCGAAGAAAGTTTACGATTATGCTTACACAAAATTTGTGAAATGGAGTGAAGAAAATCACGTACATTTTTATTCAGAAAATGTTCTGATCGCATATTTTACTAATTTGTCTGAAAAATTCAAAAGTTTAACAATGTGGTCGCATTATTCAATGCTGAAATCAGAACTAAATATTAAACATAATGTAAAAATTGAAAACTATTCAAAATTAATTGCCTTCTTAAAATGAAAAGGTGATAATTACAAACCGAAGAAGTCAAAAGTTTTTTCTAAATAGGAGTTTGATAACTTTCTTAAGAATACACCAAACAAGAGATATTTAGCAACTAAGTAGGTACATAATTTTTTTAAACTGTTATTTAGTTTTACAGATATTCTATTAATTTCAGTTTTTTTATTTTAATTTTTTTATCCATATTTTTATTTAAATGCTTGAAGAAAAAATAGTATATGTCACTCGGATTAGAAGGCCCATTATATGTTTCGCCCAGTTTGCACAGCTTCGGATAACGCCTCAGCTGTGCAAAATTCTGGGCTCAACATATAATGTTGGCCTTCTACTCCTAGTAACATAATATACTATTTTTGTAAAATTCTATTTTTGTGACGTAACATTCTTTATAATCAACATACTTTAGGGA